TATGCAATGCCTACTACTAGGCCTCTGTGGTGCTCTGCGGACTCCTGGCTGCCAGTGTGTGGCTCTCTGTGCCTTGGGGCTTTTTTTGAACCATGGAACTTACTCTGCTCCCACTTGCTGAAAGCCCACCCCTCACATACAGCTGGCAAAGACTGATGGAGTGGGTGTGTACTTCCGAGGGGGATGGATCTGTAGGTTGATGGATCCCCACCAGGTTACTTAAGGGTATATGTTGGCCACACATGGTGGCTCATGCCCGTAATCCCAGCACTTTGGGAGGCCGAGGTGGATGGATCATTTGAGGCTAGGAGTTTGAGACCAGCCTGGCCAATATAGTGAAATCCTATCTCTACTAAAAATACAAAAATTAGCTGGGTGTGGTGGCACACACCTGTAATCCCAGCTACTCAGGAGGGTAAGGCAGAGAATAGCTTGAACCTGGGAGGCGGAGGCTGCAGTGAGCTGAGATTGCCCCACTGCACTCCAGTCTGGGCAACAGAGCAAGACTCCATATCAAAAAAAAAAAAAAAATCCTGGCTAACACGGTGAAACCTCGTCTCTACTAAAAATACAAAAATCATTAGCCGGGCGAGGTGGCGGCGCCTGTAGTCCCAGCTACTCGGGAGGCTGAGGCAGGAGAATGGCGTGAACCCGGGAAGCGGAGCTTGCAGTGAGTCGATCGCACCACTGCACTCTAGCCTTGGCGACAGAGCGAGACTCCGTCTCAAAAAAAAAAAAAAAGATATATATATCAGAAGCGTGTGAACCAGAGCAACTCCATCTTAAATACGGCCTAGGTAAAATGAGGCTGAGACCTACTGTGTGCATTCCCAGATGGTTAAGGCATTCTAAATCACAGGATGAGACAGGAGGTCGGCACAAGATACAGGTCATAAAAGACCTTGCTGATAAAACAGGTTGCACTAAAGAAGCTGGCCAAAATCAACCACAACCAAGATGGCAATGAGAGTGACCTCTGGTCGTCCTCACTGCTACACTCCCACCAGTGCCATGACAGTTTACAAATGCCACGGCAACATCAGGAAGTTACCGTATATGGTCCAAAAAGGGTAGGCGTGAATAGTCCACCCCTTGCTTAGCATATCATCAAGAAATAACCATAAAATATGGGCAGCCAGTGTCCCTCAGTGCTGCTCTGTCTATGGCGTAGCTATTCTTTTATTCCTCTGCTGTCTTAATAAACTTGCTTTCACTTTACTCTATGGACTCGCCCTGAATTCCTTCTTGTGTGAGATCCAAGAACCCTCTCTTGGGGTCTGGATCGGGACCCCTTGTATGTCTGCTGCTTAAACCTCACCTCCCAGGCCATGGTGCCGAGCCAAGGGGCAGGTGTCGCAGAGAACCCAAACGTCCCAGAGCGGATCCAGGAACATAGCCAAGGCAAATAGTCTCATTGCATACAATTGGCAAAGAGCCAGAAAATTAGCTTCAAAGCAGCATAGAGACGGGTAGCAGGGCGGGTCTCTGAAGTTGTCCTGCTGCTAGCTAAGAGTCCTTGTATGTAAATCCGCATACACTCACCTACTCGCCATGCTGGACTTGTCTGAGTTCTCTGGTCTCGGCTCTTTCCCAGCTTGGGAGAATGTTCTTCTAGACAATCGCGCGTTTTCTGCATGACAGGGTCTCATGCCACTTTCCAGTGGTTTGAGCTCTGATTGTCCTCTACTAAATCATGCACTTTGTATTTTAATTTTTTATTTTATTTTTATTTTTGTGGAGACGAGGCTTCGCCATGTTTCCCAGGCTGGTCTCAAACTCCCAGGCTCGAGCAATCTGCCTGCCTCAGCCTCCCAAAGTACCAGGATTACAGGCATGAGCCACCATGCCCCACTGATCATGCGCCCTTTTTTTTTTTTTTTTTTTTTGAGACAAAGTCTTGCTCTGTTGCGCAGGCTGGAGTGCAGGCTCACTGGGGCCTTAACCTCCTGGGCTCAAGCAATCCTCTCATCTCAGCCTCCAAAGTAGCTGGGACTACAGGCTTGTACCACCACACCCAGCTACTTTTTAAATTGTTTGTAGGCCAGGCACAGTGGCTCACATCTGTAATCCCAGCACTTTGAGAGGCCGAGATGGGCGGATCACTTGAGGTCAGGAGTTCGAGACCAGCCTGGCCAACATGGTAAAACCCCGTCTCTACTGAAAATACACAAATTAGCTGGACGTGGTGGCACATGCCTGTTGTTCCGGCTACTCAGCTGAGACAGGAGAATCACTTGAACCTGGGAGGTGGAGGTTGCAGTGAGCTGAAATGGTGCCACTGCACTCCAGCCTAGGAGACAGAGCAAGACTCCGTCTGAAAAATAAATAAAAATAATTTTTTTTGTTTTGGGTAAAGAAAGGATCTCCCTATATTACCCAGTCTGGTCTTGAACTGCTGGGCTCACAAGATCTTCCTGCCTTGGCCTCCTAAAGTGCTGAGATTACAGGCATGAACCACTGCACCCAGCCAGAGAATTAGAAAGCTACACCGTGTGGATAACTTACATATTTGGTGTCAAAACTGTTGTGGGCATAGAAAAAGAGTTTTTCTCTTTCAAGGTCATGCAACTTGTAAAGCAGAATTGGCATTGAACCCACAGTGCTCTTGATTTGTGAGTGTGTTCATGTTATAATTCTAATTCTTTGAAGCAAAACATCATCGTGTATCATTTTTTAGCCTCCTAATACCCAGCCTGACCTGGGCATGGTGGCAGGTGCCTGTAATCTCAGCTACTTGGGAGGCCGAGGCAATAGAATCGCTTGAATCTGGGAGGTGGAAGTTGCAGTGAGCCAAGATCACGCCATTGTGCTGCAGCCTGGGCAATAACAGTGAAACTCCATAAAAAAAAAAAAAAATTAGTTTGGGGCCAAGTGCAATGGCTTACACCTTTAATCTCAGTGTTTTGGGAGGCCAAGGTGGAAGAACTGCTTGAGGCCAGGAGTTCTAGGCCAGCCTGGGCAACATAAAGAAAATTAAAAGATTAGCCAGGTGTGGTGGTACACACCTGTAGTCCCAGCTGCTTAGAGAAGCTGAGGTGGGAGGATTGCCTGAGTCCAGAATTTCGTGGCTGCAATGAGCTATGATTGCACCACTGCACTCCAGTCTGGGCAACAGAGTGAGACCCTGTCTCAAATATTTTTTAAATTATTTAATTGAACCTAGCTGTGCATGTGTATTTTCAAAGTCAATAACAGGACTCCCAGCGGCAGGCCAAGGTCACTCCCAGATGCCTTGGGCTCCGGCTGTCTTCTTCCCCTCCAGTCTTGGAAAGGCAGCCTGGGATGCTTTCTGGGCACATACACCGTTGGTCACAGCCCAATCCTACCCACTCCAAGAGAGTCAAAAATATACAATGCTGGGCGCGGTGACTCACACCTGTAATCCCAGCACTTTGGGAGGCTGAGGCAGGTGGATCACCTGAGGTCAGGAATTCGAGACCAGCCTGACAACATGGTGAAACTCTGTCTCCACTAAAAATACAAAAACTTAGCTGGGCGTGGTGGCAGACACCTGTAGCCCCAGCTACTCAGGAGGCTGAGGCAGAAGAATTGCTTGAACCTGGGAGGTGGAGGTTGCAGTGAGCTGAGATTGCACCATTGCACTCCAGCCTGGGGCAGCAAGACTGAGACTCCATCACAAAAACAAAAGAAAAAAAACAGAACACACAAGACACAACAACCTTCGAAGAAAAAAATCTCATTTTATTTGGACTATTATTTGAGAACAGCAACTTTGTCTACACTCTTGATAAACCCACACAGTATCTCATGCATAGAAAAAAAAAAAAAAAGCTAGCGTCTTTTCTCCCCCTTATCCCCCCACCCCATCTTCCCTTCACCAAAATGTTGGGTGAGCCCAGATTTAAAGGCAGAACAGGTCCTTGGCCCCAAGACAGCATGGAGCAAACTGTCGCAAAGCAGGGAATCTCCTTAAAGTCATATCTTCACCAAAACATTAAACTACCCAGACTGGCCCTTCACCCTGGTCCTCCACGTTCATTTCTTTAAAAAAAAAAACAACAAAAAAAAACTGGCCGAGGGCGGTGGCTCAAGCCCATAATCCCAGCACTTTGGGAGGCCGAGACGGGCGGATCACGAGGTCGGGAGATCGAGACCATCCTGGCTAACACGGTGAAACCCCGTCTCTACTAAAAAATACAAAAAACTAGCTGGGTGAGGTGGCGGGCGCCTGTAGTCCCAGCTACTCGGGAGGCTGAGGCAGGAGAATGGCATAAACCCGGGAGGCGGAGCTTGCAGTGAGCTGAGATCCGGCCACTGCACTCCAGCCTGGGCAACAAAGCGAGACTCCGTCTCAAAACAAAAAACAAAAACAAAAAAAAAACAAAAAAAACCCACTATGCTTTACTTATTTTTTTTTTCCAACATAAAAATTTGAGTAGGCTGGGTGCGGTGGCTCACACCTGTAATCCCAGCATTTTGGGAGGCTGAGGCAGGTGGATCACTTGAGGCCAGGAGTTTGAGACCAGCCTGGCCAGCATGGTGAAACCTCATCTCTACTAAAAATACAAAAATTAGTTGGGCGTGGTTGCGCACACCTGTAGTCCCAGGTACTTGGGAGGCTGAGGCACGAGAATCACTTGAACCTGGGAGGCGGAGGTTGCAGTGAGCCGAGATTGTGCCACTGCACTCCAGCCTGGGTGACAGAGCAAGACTCCATCTCGGGGAAAAAAAAAAAAAAAAAAAGCATCAGAACCAGGTCAGGAGAAGAAGGGCAAAGAGTTGCCACTGCTCTCCTTCTGGGATCTTCTCACCCAGCTCCAGAAAGGCAAGGGGCTTTGGATGCTTGGAGCCATTGCTCAGCTCCCGGGGACCACATCACCTGCTCCCTGGAGTTTTTCATAGAAGAGACACATCCCTGGAGAGTGTTGCTAAGAAACAGGAAAATTAGCTCTTCCCCCCATCACTATGGCTTCCCCAGACCCCGAGCAGCCCGCCAAGCAGCCCAGGCCCAGACTCAGGGCTGGAGGGCTGGGCGGTGATTAGTGGGTGGTTTGGTTGCCAGGATATCTCTGGACGGGGCCCTTGACACCCACTGCCCTGGCCCTAGGGGAAGCCTTCTTCCGCTTGGCATCCAGGTTCTTCATGTACCTCTGGACCCACGCCTGCTTGGGGTCGCCACAGAACTGCTGGCCCTTCTTGGTGGTGAAGCTGTGGAAGAAAGGGACAGGGGATTAACTGAGGTCGACAGGGACCTTGGGCCACTCAACTTCATGGTGGGGAGGATGTGGACGCCCAGAGACAGTAAGGCCTCCTCGCAAGTTGCTGAGATGATGCCATCTTCATTTTTTGACACGGTCTCACTCTGTCGTCCAGGCTGCAATGCAGTGGCGATCACAGCTCACTGCAGCCTCAACTTCCCAGGCTCAAGCGGTCCTCCCACCTTAGTCTCCTGAGTAGCTGGGACTACAGGAACATGCCACCATGCCCAGCTTTTTTTTTTTTTTTTTTTTTTTTTGCAGAAACGGAGTCTCATTATATTGCCTAGGCTGGTCTTAAACTCCTGGCCTTAAGCAACCCTCCTAGGTCAGCCTCCCAAAGCACTGAGATTACAGACGTGAGCCACTGCACCTGGCCTTATCATTGTATTTCTACTTCATGCCTCTGTTTACAAAATGAGTTCACAGTTACTACCTATGAAGCTATTTGGAGGACAGACACATGTCGACCCATGTGACCTTGAGCAAGTCACCTTCCTGAGCCTCAGTTGTCCTCTGTAAATGGGAACAACCATCCCTACCCCATAGAATTGTTGAGAGAATTAGATAAGACATTGTCCTGTGCCCCCGAATGGTGCCTCATTGTATATTTGGTGCTCAGTAGATATTGAATCTAAATCCTTCTCCTGGTGGCTCACGCCTGTAATCCCAACACTTTGGAAGGTCGAGATGGGCAGATCACTTGAGGTCAGAAGTTCGAGACCAGCCTGGTCAACATGGTGAAACCCTGTCTCTACTAAAAATACAAAACTTAGCCAGGCGTGGCAGTGCGCACCTGTAATCCCAGCTACTCGGGAGGCTGAGGCATGAGAATTGCTTGAACCTGGGAGGTGGAGGTTGCAGTGAGCCAAGATTGCACCACTGCACTCCAGCCTGGGTAAGAGTGAGACTCCGTCTCAAAAAAAAAAAAAAAAAAAAAAAAAAATCCTTCTGGCTGGGTGTGGTGGTTCATGGCTGTAATCCTAGCACTTTGGGAGGCTGAGATGGGAGGATCACTTGAGCCCAGGAGGTTGAGGCTGCAATGCAATGAGCTATGATCATGCCGCTGTACTTCAGCTTGGGTGACAGAGGAAGACCCTATCTCCCCCCCCCAAAAAAAAGAAATAAAAGAAATTAAAAAATAAATATATCCTCCTTCTAGTTTTATGGGCAAGGAAGTTGAGGACCAGAGAGGGGAGGTGACTTCCCCAGGGATGCACAGAGCCAGGGCCGGCTGACCTTGCTTCTCAGGGACACTGGAGTTGTACCTGCCCCAGCCCCTCTCCTGCCACATGCCCATGAAGGATACCCACATCACTCCCATACTGAGGCACGTGCTCCTGTTGGACAACTGGTAGCTGACCACTCGGTTCTCAGGAATTCTCTTGGAAAGAAATGACATGCAGCAGGAAGAGGGGATGACCACAGAGCCTAGACGAGGAGAGAGAGAGAAGCCACGTCTTTTCCCAGCCTCCCCTCGGCTCTGGGCCTCAGAGCTGGAGCTTGAACCCTGCACCAAACACCACCAGTCCATTCACTGGGCTGCCCTTTCCCCAGCGCTTTCCTCCAGCCCCAGGCTGGTCAGTCCTGCACCCTCCACTGTGCCATCCCAGCCATGCCCTTGGAACTGCATCCTGCCCGAGGTCTTACCTGTAGGGATAATGTGGTGGGCACAGACACCAAGGAACAGAAGGCTGGTTACGATGGTCATTGGGCCTGCCATGTCCTAGAGAGCAGAAGCACCAGCTCGGGGCTCAAAGCCAACGTGCGGGAGGAAAGGACCTGGGGATAAAAAGCTTGGGTCCTTGCAGAGCACCCCAAACTCCCTCCCTCTGCCTTTTATGGGGCAACTAGAAGGAAACACGCCCCCAAGCCTCCTCCACGCTTCCTTGAAAGTCCTGAGGCCTGTGGTCTGGAAAGAGGAAGTTGTTGTCCCGTTGTTGCCCAGCTGAGTCAAGGGTTATTTTGGGCTCCGAACGAAAGAGCTGGGGGAGGGGGCATCACTCCACCTCGGCCAAGTTCAAAGGTGTTGGATGCATTGTCAGAAGGCCCATGGGACCCTACCTGTGTTGGCTACACCCTGTGGGATCCTGGATAAATCACTCACCTCCCTGAGCCTCAGTTAGTTCAGCTGAAAATGGGCAGAGTCATCCCTATCTTCTCCCTTCCATTCATTCATGCTTTCATTCATTCACCCGATTTTTGTTAGGCATGTGCTCTGTGCCAGGCACTGGGAGGATTCTAATGGGGAGACAGATTTGTGATCAAGGGTGTGTAACAGTCAATGAGAGGTCAGCTGGGCTCGGTGTCTCATGCTTATAATCCCTGCACTTTGGAAGGTTCAAGTGGGAGCATCATTTGAGGCCAGGAGTTTGAGACCAGCCTGGGCAACATAGCAAGACCCTGTCTCTACAAAAAATAAAAAAATTAGCCAGGCGTGGTGGTGCAGACTTGTAGTCTCACTCTTGGGGAGGCTGAGGTGGAAGTGTGTAGCAGGACGAGCTGCAGACAAAACTTCTGACACCGAGTTAAAGAAGGAAGGGGTTTATTCGGACAGGGGCATCGGCAAGACTCCTGTCTCAAGTGCTGAGCCCCCCGAGTGAGCAATTCCTGTCCCTTTTAAGGGCTCACAACTCGGCCGGGCGCGGTGGCTCAAGCCTGTAATCCCAGCACTTTGGGAGGCCGAGACGGGCGGATCACGAGGTCGAGAGATCGAGACCATCCTGGCTAACACAGTGAAACCCCGTCTCTACTAAAAAAATACAAAAAACTAGCCTGGCGACGTGGCGGGCGCCTGTAGTCCCAGCTACTGGGGAGGCTGAGGCAGGAGAATGGCGTAAACCCGGGAGGCGGAGCTTGCAGTGAGCTGAGATCCGGCCACTGCACTCCAGCCTGGGCAGCAGAGCGAGACTCCGTCTCAAAAAAAAAAAAAAAAAAAAAAAAAAAAAAAAGGGCTCACAACTCTAAGGGGGTGCACGTGAGAGGGTCGCGATTGATTGAGCAAGCAGGGGGTATGTGACTGGGGGCTACATGCGCCGATAATTAGATCGGAACAAAACAAGATAGAGATTTTCACAGTGCACTTCTATACAAAGTCTGTAATCTATAGATAACACAACCGATGAGGTCAGGGGTCTATCTTTAACTACCAGCCCAGGGTGCCGCGCCAGGCTGGCTGCCTGTGGATTTCATTTCTCCCTTTTAGTTTTTACTTCTTCTTTCATTGGAGGCAGAAATTGGGCATAAGACGATATGAGGGGTGGTCTCCTCCCTTAGAAGGATGAATTGAACCCAGGAGTTCAAGGCTGAAGTGAGCTGTGATCACACCACGGCCTCTCCAGGCTGGGCAACAGAGCAACACCCTGTCTTACAATCAATCAATCAATCAATCAATCAATCAATCCATCCATCCATCCATGACAGGTCCTGACAGAGCAAAGCAGATGCTCTCAGGGCCGCTTTCCATCAGCTCTTGGTGGCCTTGAAGTCCCAACAGCCATCACCTGCACCTTCAAGTTGCCGGAGCCACTTAGTCACCAAGGCTCTAGGGAAGTAGGAAGTGCCTAGAAAAGCACATCCTCTGGGGTGGCCAGTGCCTGCCAGAGGGATGCTGACTCCAGGTCCAGCATGACCAACCCTGTTTCCTGAGTTTCCAGCTGGGTCAAATCTGTAACCCTCTGTGCAGCAGGACTTTGCTTGGCCCCTTCCCCCTGACCAGATTCCCAGTCCCCTGATGGTCTCTCGTGGAAGTATCTCTTAATAAACCACAAGCCCATGAATCCCCGTCTCAGGGTCTGCTTTGGGGACCTGGACCCAGAACAAGGTGTGTGGGGGTAGGTGGGAGGAAGGGAAACATAGGAGAAACAAGGGGCCAGGAGCCGTGGCTCATGCCTGTAATCCCAGTACTTTAGGAGGCTGAGGCAGGAGGATTGATTGAGGCCAGGAGTTTGGGACCAGCCGGGGCAACATAGCAAGACCCTGTCTCCAAAAGAAATAGAAAAATTAGCCAGGCATGGTGGTATGTGCCTGTAGTCCTAGCTACTGGGGAGGCTGAGGCAGGAGGATCGCTTGAGCCTAGGAGTTTGAGGCTACAGTGAGCTGGGAGAGCACCACTGAACTCCAGCCTGGGTGACAGAGCATAACCCTGTCTCTCAAAAAAGAACAAGGCTGGGTGAGGAGGTGGCTCACGTCTGTCATTCCAGCACTTTGGGAGGCTAAGGTGGGAAGATTATTTGAGCCCAGGAGTTCAAGACCAGCCTGCTCAACATAGCAAAACCCCATCTTTACAAAAAAATAAAAGAAAAAGAAAACAAAACCACAGGAAAACTGGCCAATTGTGCCAGGAGGAAAGTCCAGGAGGGACTCATAGCTGACAGCTGCACTGAGGTTGGAGGACGGACGGCACCGGCAACTATGCGGAAGCCTGTAAGTCATAACGTCCAGTTCAGTTGTAAGGGACTGAGGCAACTTTGTGAGACAGAGTGGGACATGGCTCCCACCTCACTCCACCCCCGCATTCCAGGATCCCAGGTCAGGACCTCATGCTCAGAGACTCCCTTCACCCACTACTCCCATGTGGCTGACTGCCACGGTTACTACTTGATACCCTTTCTCCAGCAGTTACTACTGTTACTGCTTGAAACCGTCATCACAAGACTGAACAAAGGGACCAATGTAGAAATGATAACAAAAAAACAAAAGAAACTGTTTTAAGGAAAGGCAGCAAGGGGAGAAGAGAGCTCCCTGATGCTACTGAGCAAAAGCAGCCCCTGAGCCTCTACAGCCCTTTATATTTATTGGGTAACAAGAGCAAGGAGGAGGAGGTAACGACTGGTCAGCTGCTTAATTGATCAGAGGTTCATCTTGTTACTGACAGGATTCAATTATTCCTAATCGTAAGAAACATTTGTGCGGTCTCCCACACTCCTATACCCAAACCCTCCCTACGGTTCTCTCCATTCCCCTTCTCCAACTTCCCGCTCTGGGATTCCAGGGCACACACCAATGCAGGACCCACACAGTGGCATAGTGGGAGCACAGTGGTACTCATCACTTGGTGGCCAGCTGGGTGTCTGTGTCTCAGTCTCATGCTTGACCTGAACACCTTGAGATCAATTTCTATACCCGCCAAGTGCCAAGCAAATCACCTGTGCCATGGCCAGCGTTTGCAGAATGGATAGATGATGGATCAACTCTGAGACAGTTTCCTCTGGACCTGAGACTCCTCTGTGGGTTTTGCTCACAGAGCACAACTGGGGTCAGCGTACACACAGGGAAAGTCAGCAGGCGGGTCCCCTGATGGAGGCAAGACTGAAGTCAGGGAGCCCGGCAGCACCTGATCTCACTGCCTGTGCTTACAGAGTGAAAAGTGCCGAGAGCCCAACTCAGGGCTTCATTAGCCTGGCACCTGTCCCTATCTGCCTTTACCTTCCCATCAGCTGACAATAATTATCCTCTGCTGGCAGAGCAATTAGAGAGGGTTAAGTGAGAAAAGTCGTGGGAAGGCCCTTTATACATGCAGAGGCTTTTGTCTTTAAAAATGTATTTATTTATGTATTTATTTTTATTATTTTTTTTTATACGAAGTCTATCTCTGTTGCCCAGGCTGGAGTGCAGTGGCGCGATCTTGGCTCACTGCAACCTCCACCTCCGAGGTTCAAGTGATTCTCCCGCCTCAGCCACCCCAGTAGCTGAGATTACAGGCACCCACCATCATGTCTTGCGAATTGTTGTGTTTTTAGTAGAGACGGGGTTTCACCATGTTGGTCAGGCTGGTCTCGAACTCCTGACCTCAGGTAATCCACCCACCTCAGCCTCCCAAAGTTCTGGGATTACAGGCGTGAGCCACTGTGCCTGGCAAAAAAAAAAAAAAAAAAAAAAAAAAAAATTCTTTTGAGACAAGGTCACACTCTGTTGCCCAGGCTGGAGTGCAGTGGCGTGATCATAGCTCATTGCAGCTTCCAACTCCTGGGCTCAAGCAATCCTCCTGCCTCAGCCTCCTGAGTAGCTGGGACTACAGGTGCAGGCCACCACACCCAGCTAAGTTTTTAAATTTTTGGTAGAGACGGGGTACCCCTATGTTGCCCAGGCTGGTCTCCAACTCCTGGATTCAAGCAATCCTCCCACCTTGACCTCCCAAAGCGCTGGGATTACAGGCATGAGCCATTGTGCCCAGCTCATCATGACGTCTTATGACAGCTCTTCTAATTTTTGCTCCCCAGTGATTCAGAGGGGATGCCGGGTGACTGCCTGAATTTTCTCATTCAGTGGGTGCTGGGAGTGTGGTGTGTGGAGGGGAGGAAGTGAGGGAGAAAGGATGGCCAGGCAGAGGCAGCACTCAGGAGAAGAGTGAGTATGGGGTAAACAGGGCGGGGATGCCCACTATCCCCATGTTGCAACAAGAGTGGGCGAGCAGAAGGTCATGGGTGGGACTGTGTGGGGTGGGGTGCTTGAGTCCAGATTAGTAATACCCTTTAAGGGCTTTTCCAAGGCCTTAAAAAACACAAAATACCCAATCTTTTTTTTTTTTTTTTTCTGCTTTGTCACCCAGGCTGCAGTGGAATGGCCTGATCTCGGCTCACTGCAGCCTCGGCCTCCTGGGTTCAAGCAATTCTCGTGCCTCAGGCTTCTGAGTAGCTGGGATTATAGGCACCTGCCACCATGCCCGGCTAATTTTTGTATTTTTAGTAGAGATGGAATTTCACCATGTTGGCCAGGCTGATC